GCAACGAGATGAGTTGATACACATGAAAAGAAGCATCGACTCTTTAACATCTTTGACATTTCTTCAGTACTGCCAGCATTTTTTTGACAGTCTATTGAGTCTGCATTTCAAATATAATGACATGGATGCTGCGGCAAAGTTTTTAATCGATCTGCATCAGCAACGGAAACCTGGTGTTTTCTTTTGCAATGATTTACAGAAACAAAGTATCGTACAAATTGGCTCTGGAAATCTGAAAAGCGGATATAGAATAATGTTTGATCCTGGAAAAGTTGACAGGGGTTTTGTTTTGGGTACAGAAAGCCAATTCGGCCTTGTTATTCTTACTGATGGAAACCTTCTTCATACTGAAAAGGCTCTTGCTAAACTTATTATAGGCTGTGTGAAATCAAGGAATATGCATATACTGTCTAGCTTTTTAATTACATCACGTAAAGATGGTCTAGAGTTAATTTCTCCACAAGATGTGGTCAATGCATGCATTCAAATGGGATGGTTGCATGCTGCTCATGATATCATAGATGATTTGGAGTCAGCTGGGATTCCAGTTGGGATTACTGGTTACATTTCTCTTCTGAGAGCATATGAGAAGGAGAATAAGTCAGAAGAATCCAATGGCCTTCTTCAACAGATACAAAAGATAGCATCTACCATGGATGGTATTCATACTAATTCTCCATTTGCAATCAAGAATATTGCCAAAGTAGTGAAATATGAAATGCCCCTCGGTAGTTCATCTTTGCTTGCTGCTTTGGCTGATGAAATTAAGCATTACAACGCTGGAGAGCACTTGACATTAGAGTTCAATAATTCAGTTCTTTTCTTCTGCAAGGCAAAAATGATGGAAGATGCTCTTTGCACATATAAGCGTATGAGAGAGCAAAATATCAGACCCACATTGCATACTTTTTGCCATATATTGTGCGGTTATTCTTCAATGGACATGCATAGAGAGATCACCATGCTGTGGGGAGAAATAAAGCGCAGACTTGAATATGGAGAGCTAGATTTGGATAGGGACTTGCTTGATTGCTTGGTTTTGAATTTTCTTAAAGGTGGATATTTTTCGAGGGTGATGGAGATCATTGGTTACATGTCAAAACATAACATTTACTGTGACAAGTGGAAATACAGGCATGCCTTCCTGAAGCTACACAAGAACCTGTATAGGAATCTGAATTCATTGCATGACAAAACAGAAGCTCAAAGTAAAAGGATTGAAGATGTCCAAGCTTTCAGGTCGTGGGCAAACATTAAGTAGGTAGGGCTAGTGACCAATTTGATCCCTCTCATTTTCAAATTGGGTAAGGACACCCATTTGATGACTTGTAGCGCCAAGCAAGCATGCCTTGTTGCCACCTCAAGGATGCCTCCTGGCTCGTTGCCCCGAAGCCTCCCTCAAGGGTAAACAGTCAAGGGGCATAGAGTGGTGCTCACAGCATCCGCAGCAGGGGAAGAGGGTTGAGGCTGTGGAGAGCTTCGAGGAGCTCAGCCTTAGGGAGGAGTGATGGCTGTACTGGGAGAGGTGGGCCTCTCCAAGCCTACAGAGATCCAGTGCGTTGACATGACCAGCGGCGTGCTCGGCTCTCACACCGGCTCTAGGAAGATGATCTTCTTACTTGCTCCCTGTTTGTTGTTCAGGTGCTTCCTTCTTTTCAGTATGGTCTACATGCACTGCATTACTTTTTATCGAAGTACATTTGTTTCCATTAGGAGGGAAGACAGTTCACTTGATAAAGACATTTACTCCATTAATTCCATGTGATGGCTTCTTGCTACTCTAGGCTACTGTAGGAAAAAATGTATAATGCGAGCCATCTTATTTAATCCAGTTTCTGCTTTTACAATATATGAGAACTTCTCATTAATTGGCTTGATTACGGCATGGATGCAACCTGATTGGAGTTAAACTGAGCAATGAACAATTTTTTCTTTCACCAAACTAGAAATTAGGAATTTTCTCCACTGATTATGCCTGTGAATCAGGATACTGTTGACTAATCAAGCAATGTGCTGCTCTTCATTTTTTTCAGATAATTGCCTTAGGAGTTCCCTCTCTACTGCATCTCTGTCTTTATTATACTGTACACCTCCAATGCTGTTTTGGTGCTCTTACTACTTTGATTCATGGTTATTAGTTTCAGGTTTTATATTTTCATCAGAAACTGGCTTATCATACAGAAAGCGTAGAAATTGAAATACTGAACTGTAGCAGGTACTTTTCTTTTGAGCTACTTTTTTTTTATGTTACCCAGAAACTAAATATCTGTAGGTGCCGGTATTTTTAATCACTAATGTAAACTAAATACAACTACCATCTGTAGATAGGACCAGGGAGGAATGGGAAAGCTCAACAAAATTACCAATCCAAAAGCCAGTTGATCATCTTCACTGTATGGAACTTTCCTGTTGCAGCTATCCACTGTAGTGCGCTGGCTCTGATATCATTGGTGCTATGGAGCGCCGATGCAGACAATTTGACACCATCAACATAGGCAGCTAGTTGTCGTCTCTGCTTCTTTCTTTACATCCTCAGATCAAGTGTGTCTCCTGCTGCGGTCAAAAAAGTGTCTCCTGCTGACGCGCCTCCTCCATCACCAAACCCTAATCAGGGATCTCTTCGAGTGTGTCATTGCCGCCAAGCATAGGTACACGCTCCCTCCATCCCATTTGTTGTATGGTTTTCTTGGAGATGACAATCATGGACAATATGCTATAAGCAGTTCCTGGACTATGAAAATCGGACTTTTGCTATCTGAAATATCTGGAACCTTATATAGATCTGCATTCCTTCAGAAATAATTTATTTTGCACTCCTTTCTGATGATATTTCATTGCTGCAGATGTTCAGTCAAGATTGTAAGAATGCAAACATTCTGATCAAAGCAGTGGCACCACCTGAACAAGGTATGCACTCACAATCAAGGACACAACTTTAATTGCTGCATTAATAGTTTAAATTTTGAAAAAAAAAATATAGACACGGTGACTTGTTAGTTAATATATCTCTTAGAGCATCAAACTGTTCTGTCTGTTGCAGTAGTTCTCGGGGTTTTTCTTACTACTTGTTTGGATCTCTGTGTTGCGTCCATGCCCTGTGCGTTGAAAGCTTGAAATGGCAAATGCGTGTCCATGAAAGAAGAGCAGATGCCATGAGATCCGTGTTGTAGTTGGTGTTTTTCGAGAATTGTTCAAAATTTGAACAGAGTCTTGTGCTACTGTATGGCCTAGTTACTGATTAATGATCTTGTAGTATTGTAAATAGTTAACCTGTGCTGTAATGCAATCAGTTCTTACATGAGCCTGGAATTTGTGATGAAAAGCAGTACAAATTTAGTATCTCAGAGCTGTTAAGTTCATCATTGAAAGGTTTGAGGATAGCTCAACTGCTCGAGTAACCACACATTTCAGATTGTCTAGCAGTAGCTTATTTAATAATGTTTTGCACAGTGTCAGCTTGAGTTATGTTTTCAGTGTGCAGCCAGGCTTCGGTGACATTCGTTCACATTTGTTTGAACTTCGACTAATTTGTCTTTCTTCTTGCAGTGATCAGCTTACCATCTCGGTTGTAGCGTTGCAGAGAAGGCTGAGAAAGATGAGATTATGATGGCAGGAATGGAGTTTTTTTTTTAAGATAAAGAGGAATGTAGTTGGAAAAGGCAAGGATAGAAGACGAGTTCAGCTCACAATATAGATATATATATTTATGTTTTGTTTCATTAAGGGATGCAAGAAACTCGATTTCCTTGCTGCCTTATATGAGGATCTGCATGTACATGCCGGTGATAAATATTTCTATTCGGTGCTCTGTTCATCACAAATCACAGATGTGATATAATGCAAGTATAAATGCTGGTTAAAAAGCAAATGGATTGGCGTATGCCCTTGCGCCGTTTGACGGGGCCACGTGTAGGGGTTCGTGGCCACCTTGTAGAAGCCACACGAGAAGTACCCGCCGGAAGCCAAGGCGACACAAAAGCGTCCTCCACGGGGTATAACGGACAGCGCAGGGAACGCCTAAAGGGAAAACAAAAAACGAACTGTGTTTCTTTAACTTCTTAATCTACAATGCAAAAACCATGTTGCAGGCGCTTAGTGTGTATCAAAATTAACTGAAAGCCGGCCAAAGCGCCGCTGCTTCGCGGAGCGCCGAAGCCGTCCGCAAGCGCCCGAACTTGGCCAAGGTGGCAAGAAAACGACCTATAAGCGTCTAGCGTTGTACGTGGGACTCTTTGGCAGCGTTCCTTGAGCAAGGCAGCTAAACAGGAAGAAAAAAAAAATCTACACAGAAACTCCCGATAGTAATATGGTGTTCCAGTACATAGTTCTTCCGTGTGCTATACTACTACCCTCGACGAGTGTAACTGGCTGCCCAGAAAGATAGTCCTTCCGAGTGACCGCCATCCATTAAGCTCTCAGAACTCCCGATAATAACATACAACACAAGAGACAATATGATATATCAAACAAAAAAACTAAATGGCAAATCGAAATTCCTAGTTATGAAAACTTCAAATTCCCGATCAGTCATATTAACATAAGCGACCCTTCCAATAACTAAACCTTAAGTCAAACTATAATGACATCTAAAATAAGATGATAAATCGTTATGAAAGCTTCGAATAGCGATCGAACACAAGGTCTTCAACTAATAATTTCTAATATATCACAGTATAATGGGAGCAAAATATTTCACCATGAACCAGATAAACGTGCAGACCAACATAGTGATCTACATGCCATGAAACCTAGCCTCCAAAATCCAATGCCTGAGATTGCTGCCTGGCCCAAGCAAATTTTTCCCGGTCAGCAACCAAACAGGCCCTAAATCACATCCCCTCTCAGTGGCAGCCCAAGATGAAGGCAACTCATAATTACATAATGATTCTGTTTTCACAAAATATAACTTGTTTTGCGCGTTCTGAATCAGATAGCTATGCTTGCAACTATCTTAGTGATGGCATAACACAAATATTCAATGTTGCCTTTCGCTGGAACTCTTAGGCTTCAACCATAGGCTCAGGACCGGATGAATCTGGAGCACTTGTGCTTGCCTTGCTTGACGGGTGAACAGAGTTGAAGAGGATGTCTTTTATGACCTGAAGGCATCACAACTCACAAGTATCAAGGCAACATTCCAAGATCCAAATGGAGTTAACCTAATCTTGAGTCAGACAAAATTAAAAAAAAAAAAAGGAATGATCACCTGTGACATGAGACCATGAACCTGCTCAGCTGTGATTTTGGAGCTATCTCGTGTCACCTTAGCCAGTGGAGACTCCTCTTGCTGAAGACAGCAGTGGACAACATATATATAAAACAAAAGAGCTCTATTAAGGTCTATAACATACACTAAAGGGCGTACCCAGTGCAGAGAGCTCCCGCTCTGTGCGGGGTCTTGGGAAGGGTGTCAGTGGCGAGCCTTACCCTCGCCTGTGCAATGCGAGGAGACCGCGACTCGAACCCGGGACCTTCCGGTCACAGGCGGTAAGACTCTACCGCTTGCACCAGGCCCACCCTTCGTCTATAACATACACTGCTGTGCAAATATCAAAATTTAAGGGACCATTTGTCAGATCTTTCTATGTCAATATACACACATGGAAGCTCAGTTTTTGACCCAGCTGGCTAGCCCCAATCTTTTTGTGCTCTCGAGATTCTCTCAAGTCTATATTCCATGCTATGCAAGACATTAATGCCTATGGGTTAAGGGCGTACCCAGTGCAGAGAGCTCCCGCTCTGTGCGGGGTCTGGGGAAGGGTGTTAGTGGCAAGCCTTACCCTCGCCTGTGCAATGCGAGGAGACCGCGACTTGAACCCAGGACCTTCCGGTCACAGGCGGTAAGACTCTACCGCTTGCACTAGACCCGCCCTTCACATTAATGCCTATGGGTTAATTGGGTTAATTCGATTTATAGTCAGGTACAGACAACTGACTTATTAACGAACTAGGGTCAACTAGAAAACCAACTAATCGTGCCTGACTCGACTTTATGACTTGAACAGATTGGTCTGAAGTGTCCTCCCAGTACAGTAAGTAACTGAACAAAACGTTCATCATCACAAGATATTTTGGCGTATCTGTGTAATTGAAGCATAAAATAGAAACAGCCTTTTTTCATAGGGACTTGATCATTAGAGCTTCGGCAGCTCGATTCATTAATTTATTTGCCCACTCAGTCAGTTGTTAGCAGACACAAACCCATTATTATTGGTTTATTGAAAATAACATAGAAGGGGCAAAAAAAAACCTAGAAATTGTAGGGTGACAAATGGTAATAGACATGCAAAATTAAGCAGCAGCATCCTTGTAAAGGGCAAAACAGAAGTGTTGGACATCAATGGGCACACCAGTTAGCTTAGAGAACACAGATGAAGAAACTGACCTCTTTCTTTCGTTGTGATGGCATAATCATACCACCAAACCGACTGTGTGCCAGCTGGCCTTCAGCTTGCTCTAGTTTATCAGCTGCAAAGGGTAAAATGGTACAAGATATTATCTGGACAGAACAAATATAATAATTTGAATATAGAAACTGGATATCATCATAAATGAAATGCTTGCCTAAATCAAAGATCTGCCCAGCAACATAATCCCTGTTGCCCAGAAGTGGTGATGAAGATAGTGTGTTGACCCAGTATTTGTTCCAGAGCAGATCAAGGAGGTGAGAGTCCAGGGATGACTTGAAATAAGTTATATCCAAAGCATAGTACTGCAAAAATCCAGTTAGAACAGAACTAAACCACATATGTGAGCCAAACAAAGAAGTGGGAGAAAGGTACCGATTTGCAATGGACACCAAAATCTTCTATCTTGTTGAGTGGAATAGTCTGGTACTCAGACACAGGCTCATCTGGTGGCTTGTAATCTTTTGGGTATGTCCTAAAAGCTCCAATCTCCACTTTACCAGCAGAAACAGTCCTTGTGGGGTCTATCACAACAGCTAAGAATGGTTCTGTGAATTGTTGATTAAGCATCTGAGTTGACACGTCGATTCCTGACAGCCAGCATCCATAACCAGGGTGTGAGTGATACCAGCCAACCACATTCTCCAACCTTCCAGCCTATGCAAATGTAACAAATGAAGTTAGATTTAACATAAATTGGAGAATGACAAAATGTGTCAACTAAATTCAAGGTACATCCCAAACAAATTTGGCACTACAATGGTGTGGGCAAACAGAGAATTAGAGATATAAAGGAAAAGAGTATGCATTCCATACTTCCACAAGTTTAAATGTGTACTAAGAAACAGCTGAAAAGGACTATAGTTTGCCACCGGTCTGATGTAACCTACTTTTATTTTACTCCTCTACCAAAATTACCAATACACACACTAACACATCAAGACGACCAAACAAAAGAATGATATAGCAGAAAAAATGCAATGTGCGTGTTACAAGCCCATCAAATGCTGGATCTGGGCAGCATGGTACTATCATACTAGTTTGACAATAGCAAACTATGAGTAACACATCAAAACAACAAAACGAAGAAGAATGCATCAAAAAAAGTTGTGCAATTTATGTGTTACAAATCCAATCAAATGCCAGATTTGGACGGCAATATTATCAATTATCATACTCCTGTTTGACAATAGTTACTTCCTTCGAAAACCACAGTACAGTACATCTAATTTGAACACATGGGCTTCAAATTCAACAGACCTGTTTTTCTCTGTTGATTATTAAGTAATGAATCTGAACAAACATGGCTCAGTTTAGATTTCAAGAATGTCTTATATTCCATGTGTGACCACATAATGAAGTTTTTTTTTTTTAAAAAAAATATCAGCTCGTTCGTCAGCAACATGTAGGAGTCGTGCATTTTTCAGTAATCAAAGTCAGTTATCATCATTGTGTTAATAATCAACTAATTCAAGGGCTATATGGTGCTAGCACAGTTAAGGCAGATAAGTTCCAGATAAGCAGCATTGCCGAAATCCATGGCAAGTCAATTTCATCTAAGCAAGTAACGCAAACAGACACAGAGATACCATACCGCATTGGTAGCTACTTTATAGTTCGGTCAGATCGGAAATAGCAATGAACTGATTACAGTTAGCAGAATAAGCGGGAGGGCTCACCTGCTTGTTGATAGTTGAGTACTCAACCATGTACTCGTAGGCGTCGGCCTGGGCATTGACCCTGGTCTCGGTGCCCTCGACGGGGAGCGCAAAGGCGTCCATGACGATGATGGCGTCGCCCTCGCACTTGCCCTGCATGAGCCCCATGACCTCGATGGTGCCCCCGGCGCGGGCGTGGACGACCATCTTGAGCAGCGCGAGCGCGGAGATCTTGGTGCGGCGGAAGTGGTGCGGGTCGTTGGCCCAGGGCTTCTCCTGCTGCGCCCGCGCCTGCACCGAGTCGTCGTAGCGGTAGATCGCGTCCATCGCGTCCGGGTCGGTGGCCGCCGCGGGGATGTTGTTCTCCAGCTCCCACGTCTGCCGCGCGATCGACGCCGACGAGGTGGGCTCCATCGCGCTGCGGTGCGTGCGGTGCGGCGCCGCGGTGGGCAAAACCCTAGGTTTGGGAGCGGAGGAGGAAGAGGATAGGCCGAGGTCGAGGAGGGGTTTGGAAACTTAGAGGTCTCTCGTCTCTGGTTTGTTCGGCTTTCCGGCGCCGCTGCCGTGCCAATACGTGGAGGAAGGATGTGCCTGTGGGCTATATGGGCCGAGAAACAAGCGCGTGGTTGCCGCGGTTTGCAGCGAGACCACAACGTGTGGAAGAAAGTTACTGTTGGGCTTTATGGGCCGATCAGCACAGGGTTTATCAATACTTCTTTTGCGTATAGTCACGTTTTGTTTATCGATAATGATGTCCCGTCCGGACAGACCCGCACATGGACGACTCGACCGAGCGCGCCCACCGACTCCTTATCCCCTCCATCCCGTGCCCCCCGTGCCCACTCGCTCGCTCCGCTCGCCCGCTCTCCTCCCACTCCTCCGCATCCACTCGCTGTCGCGTCACGCGCCGTTCTCTGGGCCACCCCCATGGAAACCGCGCTCGCGCCAGGTCGCTTCCACCCCTCCCTCCCCCCGTGACCCCCACTGGAGACGAGGACGACGGCGCCGGCTTTGACGAGGTAGGTCGGTCCTTATCTGGATCTAAGCGCTCCTCCTCCTTGTCCTTCTCCTCTGGATCTGAGCGCTCCTCCTCTTCCCCCTCCACTAGATCTGAGCCCTCCTCCTCCTCTGGATCTGAGGAACGCAGCGGTGGCTAGGGTTCCAGCGAGCTCTGGGTCCTATTCCCTCCTCACTCATGCGAGCTCGAAGGTGATGGTCAGGGGCTGTTTTGTACGTTTTTTTTTTGTTGTTTCTCCCGTGTTATAATGGGTTTTTTTTATATGTTGCAACAGATGGTTTTCAAATGTTGCAATGGAATTTTTGGGTCGTTGTAAGAGATGTTTTTGCGATGTTGCAGTACTACTGTTTGAGATGTTGTAGTACATAATTTCCGATGTTGCAGCACATAATTTTTTATGTTACAGGACATCTTTTTTTTTATGTTGCAGTACATGTTTTTCGATATTGCAGTATATTTTTTGACGTTGCATTACATATTTTTTCGATGTTGCAGTACATATTTTTCGTTGTTGCAGTATATACTTTTCGATGTTGCAGTGCATGTTTTCCACACTACATTTTTTTTGTGATATTGCAGTATTTTATACCCGATGTTGCACTACATAGTTTTTTCATATGTTTGTAATGTTGCATATGAAGTGTTTCATACTCTTTTGGGATAAGGGCACGGTGGGGAAATGGGGTGCGTTGGGGAACGGAGGACAAGGGTGAGTTCCGTTCTATACGCGCGGGCGCGCTGGATGTCCGGGCGCTAGAACTAGAATTGTCGGGAATTGATGAGATTACAATCTGAACTTGCCACTTTTTACACAAATTTGAAGTCAGATAACCATCATTACGGTTAGAAAGGGAAGATAAGTTGATAGAGACAGTCATAGTTTTTTCTTTTCATCAATACACAAAGTTGTATCTTGCCTGATTTTGTTTTCGTTTCTGCAACTCAAATCACACACCAAGCCATATGGATGAAATGAAGCCGAGATGATACATGAACGAACACGATGTATGTGCCTGGACTAAAATATCGTGCGACTAACACGTTCTTTCAGAGCAACGGTGTCGAAACAAAATGTCAGCTTGCAGCCATTGCTGCATCTCTGTCAGCAGAAAAATTTTATCATTTGTCGTCAGTTACTCTTATTACTCTACTCGGTTATCTGTTCATGTCTCCTACCCTCCTGTGTGTTTAAGCGCACATGTGTTACAGCTAATCCCAGTGGTAAGGAACAATGCACATACCCCGCCGGTCAGTTAAAACTCGCTGCTGTCTTATCTGAAGAATCTTTCCATGCGTGCTGAATTGCTGATTACCGACAGGATCAGTTGCCTGGATACTGTACGCTGCTTGGTCGATCGGTGGCTGTTGTCCTTGTGCAGTGCAGGTTGCCTGCACTGCACTTGATTATCTCTTCACACAATGCGTTGCATGTTTTGTTCAGCAGAAAGCTTTGCCAAACCAACATCTGAAGACTGGAAGTCTGGAAGTGCATGAACACACCGCCCTGAGATTCGGGAATCTTTCGTGTCCATGCTTTTTTTAAAAGCAATTTCATGTCCGTGCTTGGCATGGCCGGCCGATCTGCGTTTTATTTTCTCAAAAACTAAATGACATTATGGGTTTGATTGTTAATTTCGTTTCCATGCACATGCAGGTTCAGACATCAGAGAAGCCATCTTAAGTCCTGCCCTCCTAAACATGGGCTTCTTTTAATAACTATAGTAGAATTGTCATATAATCGTATTCCAAGACGTAAATTTTAAAGTAAACAGGACCTGCCGTCTATATATTAATTAAAAAGGTAAGGTATTCTAAGCCGTATTGAATTCGAACATGTCATATTTGTATAAGAAGTTGAATACTGATGAATTCAACTACTCATCAATCAATCAATCATTCACACTTATTAACATTTAGTATTTCCAAACAAGACAAGCAAATTTTATGAAGAGCAGCATACAGTACAGGTCAGATTCCATCACATAAACAAATCTATCAAGGTCTTGTTTAGATTATAAGTTTTTTCACTCTCTTTCCATCACATTAAATCTTTGACACATGCATGGAGTATTAAATATAGATAAAAAAAATAACTAATTATATAGTTTGATTGTAAATTACGAGACGAATCTTTTGAGCCTACTTAGGCCATGATTGGACAATAATTATTAAATACAAACGAAAGTGCTACAATGCCAAATACTGATTCATAACATCAATCTAAGGACGTGTTTAGTTCCGAAAATTTTTGGCTTTTGACTACTGTAGCACTTTCGTTTGTATTTGGTAAAAATTGTCCAATTATGGACTATTTATGCTTAAAAGATTTGTCTCACGATTTCTCGGCCAACTATGTAATTAGTTTTTTTTTCGTCTATATTTAGTATTCTATGCATGTGCCGCAAGATTCGATGTGACGGGTACTGTGCAAAAAATTTTGGGTTTTGAGGACATCTAAACAGGGTAAACGAGGCCCAAGAAGAATGAGAATCCATCAGCAGTAGGGATGAAAACGGATCGGATACGAACGGATATCACTCATATTATATTTGTTTTCATATTTCTGTTCGGATTCGGATTCGGACACGGATAGCGTTCGGATACATATACGAATACGGATTGACTCGGTTACGGATACGAATAATGAGTATCGAATACGGTATGAATCGGATTCGGAGAAGGTCGGATACAAATATCTATTCGGATATTGAGTAAAAGCAAAGATATATATATATATCATACGATGCATGAAACCATTACACCACTCTATGAGTCCATAATCCATCTAGATTAAGCCGAAAGACTAAAGAGTAAAGCAACAAATAAGATAAAGATACAGATACATCATACATCAAACATCATATAAGCACTAATCTTCGCGGCATGAGTAGAAATAGCCAAGCACATTGCTTCATGGGTCTCATGGAGTCATGGTCATGGATTCAAGATCTACAATCCTTATATAGGCCATTTTTTCATTTTGAAAAAGTTTGAATAAAATGTAGTTCAAATTTCACAAGTGTGTGACATAGTTTTAGAAAGTCTGTATGAGATTTAAGAATTTGTGACTAGTGTTTGATAAAACTTTCTCAAATGGGAAAATGAGCTATGTAACAATTGTATATCTTGCTGAGATGATCAAACTTGGTATTCAGAGTTTTTTCATCTGAGGTCATTTAGTGTCTCATTTGAGCAAGTTTGACCAAGTCAAATTTGGTCAAATGAAAAAACAACACTTTGACTCTAGTATTATGAACTCTAAATGACTTCAAATTGAAAAGTTTTGAATACCAAGTTTGTTCAACTCATCAAGATCTACAATTCTTGTTTTGGTCAACTTTCCATTTGAGATAGTTTGGACGGTTCAAATTTGTGATTTTTAAATTTCGATGCTTACAAACTAGTTTTCGGAACCCTAGATTATCTCAAATTGAAAAGTTTTGAATACCAAGTTTGTTCAGCTCATCAAGATCTACAATCCTTATATAGGCTATTTTTTCATTTGAGAAAGTTTGAACAAAATATAGTTCAAATTTCACAAGTGTGTGACATAGTTTCAGAAAGTCTATATGAGATTCAAGAATTTGTGACTAGTGTTTGATAAAACTTTCTCAAATGGGAAAATGAGCTATGTAACAATTGTATATCTTGCTGAGATGATCAAACTTGGTATTCAGAGTTTTTTCATCTGAGGTCATTTAGTGTCTCATTTGAGCAAGTTTGACCAAGTCAAATTTGGTCAAATGAAAAAACAACACTTTGACTCTAGTATTATGAACTCTAAATGATTTCAAATTGAAAAGTTTTGAATACCAAGTTTGTTCAACTCATCAAGATCTACAATTCTTGTTTTGGTCAACTTTCCATTTGAGATAGTTTGGACGGTTCAAATTTGTGATTTTTAAATTTCGATGCTTACAAACTAGTTTTCGGAACCCTAGATTGTCTCAAATTGAAAAGTTTTGAATACCAAATTTGTTCATCTCATCAAGATATACAATCCTTATATAGGCCATTTTTTTATTTGAGAAAGTTTGAATAAAATATAGTTCAAATTTCACAAGTGTGTGACATAGTTTCAGAAAGTCTATATGAGATTCAAGAATTTATGACTAGTGTTTGATAAAACTTTCTCAAATGGAAAAATGAGCTATGTAACAATTGTAGATCTTGCTGAGATGATCAAACTTGGTATTCAAAGTTTTTTAATTTGAGGTCATTTAGTGTCTCATTTGAGCAAGTTTGACCAAGTCAAATTTGGTCAAATGAAAAAACAACACTTTGATTCTAGTATTATGAACTCTAAATGACTTCAAATTGAAAAGTTTTGAATACCAAGTTTGTTCAACTCATCAAGATCTACAATTATTGTTTTGGTCAACTTTCCATTTGAGATAGTTTGGATAGTTCAAATTTGTGATTTTTAAATTTTGAATAAATATCCGGATAATATCCGTTTTTAAATATCCGGATATATCCGATACTTATCCGGATTATCCGATATCCGCCGGATATCGATGATATTACATCCGTATTTGATATCCGCCTAAGATATCCGTTTTAGTATCCGTATCCGAAAAAAAAACCCGGATATCCGAGTAACTATCCGAATAAGTGTTCATATTTGTTCGGTCGAACGGACGGTCGAATAAATATCCGTACCGTTTTCATCCATAATCAGCAGTCATCTCTGTTGTGCGTGCTAGCAGCGTTGCAGTACTACTATTCTAGCCTAGCCAGCATCCTTTTCAGCTTAGGCCCCCATGCATCTACACCGCTGTCTGTCCTTCAGGTAACCACCAGCATGAAACCGTTCGTTGTGCAACTCTGTTTTTTTTTTTGGTCATTCTGTCACAGTCAACAACTGTGGATGTTGAATCCAGCGTGCTAGTGGCTGCGCCTGCATGTACGCCCCCTGTCACGGACGAGCGCAAGGCTGCATTGCCCATGCTCATAATTCAGCAAGCCAGCCAACAGATTTTTCCTCTCACAACAAACTAGCATCGGCCAAACTTATTAGCTCAGAAATTAATCAGGATCATTACGTGAGCCTGCAACGAGTTACAGTAGTTCGGCATCAAACTGTCGCAATTTTTGTACTCTGTACTGCATTCTGCATGAAAATCCAAGTGAGATCTGAAACGATACGAGGCTACAGCACAGTGCTATCAGCATTATTCATCGTCTTCATCGCTACTGACTGTTTAAGATAGGCTGGTGCTGGTCCTGGTAATAACAACGGGTATAACTCGACAATGACGGCACTACACTAATGCCTTGGTCCATCGCGCTGATCATGGCCGAGGAGCGCCAGAGGGCAGGCCAATGAGCACCGCGTCTCCGCATCATGGAAACGTTAGGTGTTGCAAGAGTCGAGGACCATGGCACCATGCTATGCAGATGCACTGTTGGGTCGGCTCGATCCTCGCCTGAGCCCTGATGGATCACGGACTAGAGAGAATTGCTTATTTGATATCAGACAAAGGACTCGTTTCTTTCTTGGCCCTCAAAAAATTTCCGTTCTCTATTTGATATCGAGTTCAACTTTCGTTCCTTATATGACACTCCGTTGGGTTTGACATCCGTGAACCGTTAACTGCCACGCGAAAAGACGATTTTGCCCCTGTGGGCCCCACCACCCTTCTCCCTCCTCTCTTCCCTTTCTGGCGGAGGAGGCAAGGGATGGCGATCTTGCCTTCATTGGTGGAGGATGCAAGGAGTGGCTGGCCGCTGTTGATGGATGGAGGAGGGGAGGGCGGCACGGCTTGTTGGTGGATGAGGCGGGGGAGGCGGTCTTTGCTCGGCTGGTGGAGGAGCTTTGACCGAGGTCGACGGAGGTCATGGCGGGGAGGAGCTCAGCGGAGGTCGGCGCCCGCCGGCCATGGAGGGAGGAGCTCAGCGAAGGTCGGCTGACCGCCATGGCGCTGTTCAGATGGGCTCATGGGGCATGGATGCGGGCGCTGGCCGGAGCTCGCGTGGTCGGTGCAAACCATGGCTCCCTCCGCGAGGAGCTTCGCAGCGGGGAGCTCTCATGGCGGCGTGTGGCGGTGGGTGGCCGGGCGACGCGGCTCCACCAGATCATGGTGCGGTGCTGGTGGCCCGAAGCTCCCACGCCGCCATGGCGGGGCGGGAGCTTGACGCCGAACGCCGGGGAGGGGAGGGCGCGACCTTGGGGAGGACAAGGCGTGGCCGTCCGCGAGCTTGGTGCTGTGGCTACGGGAAAGCACGTCGGGGCCGCCGTGCAATGGCTATGGCGTGGGAGAACTCATTGAGGGCCGTCATGCCATGGCCGGGCGAGCTCGTCGAGGGCGGGAGCCTTGCAGCCGCGACCGCACGTCACGGGGAAGAAAGGGAGGAGAGGAGGGAGAAGGGTGGTGGGGCCCACAGGGGCAAAATCGTCTTTTCACGTGGCCGTTAACGGTTCACGGATGTCAAACCCAACGGAGTGTCGTATAAGGAACGAAAGTTGAACTCAGTGTCAAATAGAGAACGGAAATTTTTCGAGGGCCAAGAAAGGAACGGGTCATTTGTCTGGTGTCAAATAAGAAATTCTATCCATGTATTATGGATGTGTTTGTCTGTACACCACGAATGCCCAAGCAAGCGCAACTGCTTTCCTGTTCATGCCCCACTGGGACTGTAGGTGTGGAAGCGTATGCAGTACGCACGCAGCCGATCTATCGATGCCCCTTCACTGCATATGTGGCTTTGGTCCTCCGGCAGTCCAGCTTCGTCCTTGGTGTGCTGCTTGTTTATGCGCCCATCCCATGCATTGACGCGCGCGTTGCGTGCCCGATCGCGATGGAGCTTTCGAGCTGGTGCTGGTCCTCGGCTTGTGTCAGTGAGCTACAGTGTGGGAGAAGTTATGCGCGTAGATCTGGGCGCAGCCGGAGCTGCTGGCGACGAACGAGTGGTCTAGGTTAGCGTAGCAGCGATCAGCGAGCCATGCAGCTAGCAGGGCAGCGATCAGGTCCATGCCATGCAAAGAATTGGGGTCATGAACTCATGATGCAGCTAGAGCTGGAAAAAAGGCGTTTTGTGGTGGACCTAGGCCAGCAGAGTGCAGAGTGGTGTGCGTCTCTCTCTCACACACGCACCCCAACAGGCAAGATATTGTTTCCAGAAGATTTTTTTTTTAGAGCAGCGTGTGTTTAGGAGGCGGCCGGCTTTGATTAGAAGTAGGGGTACGTAGTCATAGCCTCCTGTATATTGTGGTAGGTGCATTAGTTAACAAGCTGATCGGGTGGTGTTTGCAAGCCATGGTTGGCGAATGTGTGACTGAATCATCACGGGTTCATTGTTCCTGACGAAGCTGACAAACTGACCGTTAGGATACTTAGATCATAACGCCATTAATAGTAGAGTAGTAGTTACAAATTTCCTAAGCAAATGATAAATTCCTCCGATCTGGCCAGTTTCAGTCGTGCTGTATATGGAGATTATGCATGATTTCACTGCGAATTACTAACACGCGCCACACGACTGATGAAAAGGCAAATGGCCTGTTGTCTGACAGAGCGACTTGCTTCGTCCTGTCTCAAGTTCGCTCAATGATCCATCGATCCCGTTCCCGTGGTTAGCTCACTGATCACCTCACTTTCCGACGCGCTCCTGAACAGCCGGGCAGCAGTAGCGGTGTAGGGCCGCCCAACTGCACTTGGGCAAGCTAACCAACGGCAACCGAGCCGAACCCGAAACCCACCACATGACTTGCCTCTGAGCATGTGGCTGCTAGCTAATAGCTCGTAGCCAAACTGCTCCTGGCTCCTGCAATTCAGGGCAGGGGTCTCTCATCAGTCTCTGCATCATCCGTGGCTCGCCCACAGAAATAAAGCCAAGAACCAACGACAGTTTCAGGGTTTGTTGGGGACGCACGGCTCTGCCCGCCCGGCATGCCAAACTGTCAGCTGGTTTGGGAAGAAACCAGCACGCATCCGTCGTTGTCAGGAGCTGATCAGATCGGCTGCTGGAGTTAAGACGGACGGACGGCGTTTTATGGATGGGCAAGATTCCTGCTGAGCTGAGATGGTGACACCAAAACTGAAAACCACGGGCCTGAATCCTCTTTTCTCTCCCTCTTTTTTCTCCCGGATTTTCATATTCTCAACTAGGGATGGATGGTGTATGTACACACTGATATAATCGCAAGGATCGTATCAGCAGGATGAATAATAGTAATAATCTACTGACAGATGCAAATATTTTGGGGCTAATCATTGGGGTGGATGCTGCACGCCGACGAGGAGATCGAGGGGGAATCGGATTCATCGTCGTAGTTGTCATCGTCGTCGTCCTCGAAGTCGTCGAGATCGTCGAAGTCCCACAGCTCGTCTTGCTCCTCCTTCTCGGGCATCTGCCATTGATCTTGAGAAATCTCGCCGGACTCCAATAACTCCAGCACCTGCCCATGGCCATGTGAATCCAGTCAGCTAAGTACTAACAGTGGCAAATTAATAAAGAGCACTGGAGCTTCAATTGACCGGTCCAGATCCAGGAGTAACCTCTGACAAGCTGGTACAGCCCATTGGATTTTACATTCAACTTTTTTATAGGGAAAAAAAGGCCAGCCCTACAATGCAATGCATAACTGGAATACTAATGCACATCTAAACATTTTGTTGAGTGAAAATGAAGTTTTTATGCAGACGGATGCTTGTTTAGTTACAGTAAATAGGATTTTACAGCAACATCGTTCAGCTTGGATAAGTACAGTGAACAGCTCAATAAATCATACTGATGTGCTACCTAAGCACTGCTTATACTCTGTAACCAGATTCTGAAGCAAGGCATCTATCTGATAGTTGTAACGAGAGTAGCAGTGACCAGTCATCAGTTCAGTGGGGCGATTGTTTATGTGCTGATGGCACAATGAATTATGAATAAAGTAAGGGCATGATTAAACTTTGATTAGGGTAGACTTGGTCTTTTATATAGCTGTTGGGGTGGCATTTTTGTACGTTTGCCCCAAGGCTTGTGTTCTTGAACTGTCCTGCATCCCCCACTTCACCTCGCCCTTGGGCTTCCCGTGAACCAAATCAAATGGAGAGAAAGAAATGGTAGGGGACAAGGTAGGAGGCAACAGAGCATCCTATGCCCCTCCTACAACCAAGAAACCGTCCATGCTGCAGATGTGACCAAACCCTTGTCTGCTTCTGAAGTTCAGTAAAATAATAAGGTTCCAATGGCCTACTCTACTCCTAATAGTCCTAAATTTTTGTCATACAGAATATGAAGAATGCGTGCTTAAAGTTTTTGTTTGGCATGCTTAATACGTCTAGGGCCCAAGTTGAAAAGAGGAAACTAAGAAATCTTTCTAGGCAATTTGGGAAACATTATTCAGACAAGGTCAATACTGATGTGTTCAGGCCACCATCCCAAATCTCAAACCCGCAAGTTCAACTCAATTGATGCATGCATGATTTTGCCCATCCACAAGTTGATGCTATGTTTTTGTTTGGTACTATACATTATCAGTCTGTGAGCGCCCACAAAGAATACAGTAGTGCACTGTGGGATCCTAGTGAAGCAGCTCTACATTTAAAAAAAAAAAAAAAAGTCAGGAGCTCTGCCGCTCAATTAAGACGAAAGAATATATGTACAAGAGGGCTAGCCAACGGGGTATCAAAAAAGGCACCCGATAGGCTAACCAACACACACGACGTAGCTAAGCACTAACACGGCACACTACCATGGGTCATCGTTGCCGAGCATGGCTGAAGACGCCAGCAGCTCCGACTTCTCATGGCAGTCCACACACAAGTCACCCACCAACGAGCCCGAAGTAAGCGGCCGCAACCGGTCATCGTTGCCAAGCTCAAGCACCCCGCAAAGAGCAGCTCTGACTTCCAATCATGGCAACACGCCTCGCCTCCAGCGCTTGCCGGCCCCTAGCGAGACCCGACCCTACGATGAAGGTGGGGGCTGCGCCCGCGTCATCATCGTTGCGAGCCACATCCTTGACGCAGCGGCTTCGACTTCTCGCAGAAGACCCGCCTCCACAGCGTCATCGAGGCGCCAGGAAGCGAAGAACAATCACCGAGGAGACATCGAGGCCACGACGAAATCAAAACGCGACACCTTCAGGAAGGTAGCGACGCCGATGACGCCACCGTCGCACGTCCAAAGTGGACCGGGCTTTCACCCTTGGATGATAGTGCTATAGGGGATACACGACGCCCCCAACAGGGAAAGCGGCACCCACAGGTGTCGCCGTCGCTAACTTCCGCCCAAGGAGTCTCAACACGAACGTCGGGCCAAGAAGCAAGGCCTCTTGCCATCCATCATCGCCTTCGCCCGTTGTCCCGCCGCTCCACAAGTAACCCCTTGAGAGGGCCTCGACGCGCGCCGGTTGCCGCACGCGCAAGCCGCAGACAATGCGTGCGTCGGCCGTCACCCTCCGGTCGGGCAACGCGGAGCCGGACTTGACTCATGCCTCGCACAAAACACCGCCAGACGACTAACGCCTCACCGATCATTGCCGCCGGCTCTTAGCACGTCGTCCGCCGACAGCTGCGACCGGCGTCACCACCACCGGACACATTCCCACCCCGTGGGCGCAGCCCCCTGCTGCCATGGCGTCGAGAACCGGCGAGAGAAACACCGGTGCCGACACCCTTTCTTTGTCGCCGCCGCCGCCTCGCGCTTGGCAGCCACCGCCCTCGCCAAATTTCTACGAGAGTGTCGGAGCTCCAAATCAAAGCGTGGACACCGGATCCGGCCGCCCAGACTCGATCCGCCGATCCGGCCAACGCCCGCGCGCCGCCAAGTGCGGAGGAAGGGACGGGCGATGGAGAAGGGATCGCCGCCGTCCCCACCATGCCGGACACCACTGGCGGCGCCAACAGCATGGTGGACACACCCGCCGGGCTCCACGCAGCCGTGTGGGAGGAGAGCCGCCGGCTCATTGTCACCTGCGCCACCAAATCATGAGAGAGAGGAGGAGCCCCACCACCGCCATCCCGGCGAGCTGCGCATGCCATGCTTGGCGTGGCGAGGGAGGGGAGGGAGGAAGGCGGCTGCTAGGGTTTGGGAGGGCGCAGCCGCCCGTGTCGCCCGCGTGGGAGAGCGACGCGGGGGCGAGATGGGGTTGTTTTCAATGTGTAAACCAATAATCACACAAGCAGCTCTACATTAAAAATTGAGATCTCACCACACTGTGATAGAGCGACGCGGGGGCGAGATGGGGTTGTTTTCAATGTGTAAACCAATAATCACACAAGCAGCTCTACATTAAAAATTGAGATCTCACCACACTGTGATAGAGTAGGACAAGCCCTATGCAATCAGGTTGGGTGTAGTGTTACTTGCCAGCTGATCGGTAGATGCCAATGCCAGTGTGCTAAACAAGAACCCCTGCTGTCACAACAAACATGGCACGCGGTGGCGGTATTTAACAACCGTAGCAGCCACTGTCCAAAGTGGATGATACAGATACAGTACTAGTATATGCTGCTGCTGTTTTTAGGCTGCTCTCAGCTGTCTGGTTAGACGAAGCATATACGGATAATCCGGTTTAATAAGCTCAAACAGACTAGGCAGAATTATGCCTAAGTGGGATAGCTACCTAGCACCAGACATAACTAATGTTTTCATCAGAGTATATAACTGAACCATTACCTCATCTGATTGTATAACTTCCAATTCATACTATAAAATACTGTGATACTTCTCAGACCACATACTTGGAACATTTCTGCACCAACCGTTAACCTCTGTTGTGTTGCCGCTGTTCACCCGATTTTTGTATGGTAGTACTATGATAGAACTGTTGGACCTAACCGTACGCTTTTCGGTTTTGCTAGAAGTGAGCAGAAAACTTCTAGGAAAATCTTGGCCACAACCTTTCATAAAAAAAAGGAAGAATTATTGGTCCTTTTCCGGTGTATGATTATCTAGTTGAAGAAACCTAAAGTTGTTTGTTGCCCATTTCAGGGTAATGGCATCATTATTGTCCTTTGCTGAAACCCAGAGAATTCCATTGTTTAGTTACCCGATCAAGCAACAGGTCAATTAGACCACCAGATGGGAATTAAGATGTCCCCGGCTTTTGTCCTCTGTGATGATGGTTGGAGATTTTCATCTTTCAAAAGACGAGAAAAAGGAGACGATAGTTGGAGATTTTGATCTTTCAAAGACGAGAAAAAAGGAGGCCACAGATGCAGATTTTCTTGGTGGTGACCCAGGCGTTTCAACGACCGGGATGCTAGGCTCTGTCAGTCAGACCCACCCTACCCAAGGTATGGCATTGTACCACCCTCGAGAACAAATATTTTTAGCTGGATCCTATTCCTCTAGAACAAGTAGGCCACCCACTGTCCAAAGCTACTGCACTGGTTGAGTCATAGTAAATTGGTTGAATTTTTCTTTCCCTTTTTGAAAGCAAAGAGCAATGTGCATTTACTTGTTGCAGTGACAATAAGGACAGTTCTTTGTTTTCTTGTCATTTCAAACCAGTAAAACAAATCTGAAGTTTGTGTAGTTTCAGCCAGAACAGAAGAGCAAAGCGCAAAAGATGCGGAGAGAGTTGTCTGTTTCCGTACGCAACGCACGCACCTGTGTCATGGTCGGGCGCCACACGGCGGCGGCCCTGACGCAGAGGGACGCGACGAACATAAGCCGCCTCAGCTGCACGGCGTCGTAGCCGTCGCCGAGCCGCGGGTCCACGAGCCCTTGCACGACGCCGTCGCTCAGGTAGGGCTTGGCCTGCATCAAGCCATCAAGCCACAGCGACATGAGTAAACTGTAGAAGTGGCACACGCACAGTTACTGTTGGATGGCTGGACAGTGGACACTCACCCACGCGATAAGGCTCTTGTGTGAGCCGTCCACCGGCTTCCGGCCGGAGATGAGCTCGAGGAGGAAGACGCCGAAGGCGAACACGTCCGTCTTCTCGTCCACGATGCCGTGCGTGAAGTACTCCGGCGCCAGGCACCTGTCATCACGTACAGAGGAGGTGGCGTGGCGACCGCCCATGCCATTGCCATTGCCCTCCGTGTCAGCGTGTCTTCTTCGCCAGCTTGCATTGCATTATTGTCACAAAGTCCAAGTGAACAGAACAGGGTACGTGAAAAGCAAGCGTCGCTCACCCGAAGGTGCCCTCGATGGGCGCGATGGCGTGGTGCGTCCACTCCGACGGCAGCCACCGCGCGAGGCCGAAGTCCGAAATCTGAGGCTCGTAGCCGGCGGTGAGGAGGATGTTGGACGCCTTGATGTCGCGGTGGATGATCCGGCGCGCGCAGCCCTTGTGGAGGTAGCGCAGCCCCCGCGCGGTGCCGACGGCGATCCCGTGCCGCTGCTTCCACGACATGGCCGGCAGCTTCAGGTCTGAGCACGATTCATTGATGGTGAACGGCGGCACAGAGCAGAGCGAGAGCACGTCCGCGTGGACGTGGGCGGTGGAACGAACTGCCGGTGTCTGCCAGTGTCACCCGTGCATGGTCGCTAGGTGGGTGGCGGATGAATGGACATGAACAGGATGGACTTGCCGTGGAGATTGGCGGAGACGGAGCCGCGGGTGGAGAAGTCGAAGACGAGGTGGAGGCCGCGGTCGACGCAGCATCCCAGGAGCGCGGACACGTTGGGGTGGTGGACGTGGCCCACCGTGCCCAGCTCCGTGAGGAAGTCCTTCTCCTTCTTCTCGTCCGCCGCGGCCGTCGGCGCCAGGCGCTTCACGGCGACGGCGCGGCCGTCGTCCAGGACCCCGCGGTAGACCTCGCCGTACCCGCCCTTGCCCACCATGTTGTCTGCGGTAGTGCGGCGTGTGGAAAAGGCAACGTCAGTTGCCGAAGCAAAATTAAGGGTGCGCGGCGGCGTGAACAGCGGCATAGGACAAACAAACAGAGGCAGGCGATGTGGTTTACAGTACCTTGGTGGAAGCCATTGGTGGCCTGGTCGAGCTCCTCGTAGGAGAAGCACCTCCAGGTGGGCTTGTTGGGCGGCGGGTCGACGACGACGTCGACGCACTCCTCGGCGCACTCGTCGGCGTTGCTCCGGCGGCCCAGGGACAGGAGCCGCTTCAGGCTCCGGCTCCGGAGGAAATTCATCTCCCACTCCGGTCCACCGAGAGCTAGAAACAGGAACCCAGCAATGGCAGCGCCCAGCTCCAGCTAGAAGACGGAAACGACGAGCGGAGGAGCTCCCTCAGCGGAACAACTCCACGAATGAATTCAATTCAATCCCCCTCTCTCCTCTCGACCTCTCCTGTTGCTGCCTTGCTGCGTGACGAGACGACGCACGCAGCGGCCGTATTGAAACCGGCGGGCGCGAGCACGTACGAGTAAACAGTGATGACACGGGGCGGTTAAAGAAGAGAAAGGGGGGCGTTTCTTCAGTCAAGAGCGGGCGGGCATTGAATGGCTGAGCTCAAGCCAATGGTGGAGACTGGAGACTGGAGGAGGAGGCCGCTGCTCTGCTCCGTTGCGCAGGAGCGCATTGAATTGGACGCCGAGCAGCGAGCACAGAGCGAACAGGCAGAGGCCGTCGCGCCGGGCGGCCGGGCCCCCTTTTATCCGGTCCTGGCGCGGGAGGGACACGGGTCGGGTCGGTCGGGGCCCAGCCGCCACCGGAGGAAGAGGAGGAGGGGACGTGCGTGCCGTCTTGTTCTCCTGGGTCCGGGGCACGGCCTGTGGACTGTGGTTGTCTGGGCTGGCCTCTTCGGGGTCTCTCGTCTCGCCCGTGTTTCCTTCGCTGGCGCCTGGCGGCCTGGCGTCGCTGATGATTGCAATGCCGTGTGCCAAGCCCTTGTCGGAGCGATCGCCTTTCCACTGGAGAGAACACTCGAGGATAATACTAGCCCGCCGGATCTATGATTTTCACTTCCACTGGAGCTAACAGACGACGGGGAGCCCGGGAGGGAAGGAAAAGGAGCGCCCAATCTAGCTACTGGCGGATAAGGCAGGTGCGAGCAGTTGGCGAACCAGCTGGCCTGGCGTGTTGTTCACTGTTCAGCTGCGGCCGATACCCTTAGTTAGAGCAACTTGAACTCTTGAAGACCCTATTTGATCCATCCATGGGCTCTCATTTCTCTCTTCTAAATCCCTCTAGATGTCCTTCCTTTAAGGAAAAACACTAGACGTATATATAGTAGTAGGAGTCTCTCGTCCTTCTTTTACTTTTTTTCTTTCTTTTCACAAAGCCGACAAGTTGAGCTGATAAATTAGGTCCATGACAATCTATTACACCTATAAAATATTGAAGGGAATCGTCTGCCCTGCAAACACTCGTCCCGCTTGCTCGTGGGTGCGTGCCCACACCTCTGCGCCCCACTCGTGTGCGTGTGCAGCAGCAAAGGAACAAAGTGGCCCATTAGTCTAAGCAACCGTGGGCTAAACGGATAGTCCTCATGCCCGCACGTAACAGACGAGTCCGTTGCGTGGTGGTTTGCGTGGGAGAATGACACCACATTTGAGAGGGAAATCTGGATGAATTTAGAAATAGTGTAGGGTTTCCAATGCAAGAATATTTATTAAAATTTTATTAAATTCTGAAAATGTATAATAATAAATCACATAAGTACTAATTAAAAGGTAAAACCAATTTGGTTTCTATAAAACTAGATCTACACTATATATGTGATAATAAATATCATGAAATATACTTTATATAATTAATTTGTAGACTTTTCTTAATATGTTCGTCAAAACCACAAACCACATCCATTGCCATGGACATGGATAAAAATCCGTTGTCCACGTACAACGCACGCATATATCTAGTATAGTATAAAGTAGGAAAAAAATTAGAAGATCGGTTGAAGAGCTATGAGAAATATGGTCTAAAACATGGATGAAGAGCTCTCAGATGAGGGAATATGGAGCTAAGTTTTGAGAGCCAGAGCCCTGCCAAACCGGTCCAAAATTTGAGATTTCAGTTGGAATTGCTCTTAGCATGATGCATCTCCCACGAAAGTATATTTGCTATTGGGCCTTGATTTTTTAGCTCAAGGTGTTCGGGCCTGCCTTGTGTCCTTGTCATGTGGGATGATCCTAAACTTGGGCCTAGAGCTAGGCCTGCTAATATGGCGGGTTGAAATAGGTTGTACAGGGTGGGCTTTATCTGGATGGATGGAACGTATGTTATTTGCTAGCGGGTCAGGTTTATTCCTGAGCTTAATGCACGAAAACAATGAGAGATTAGCTTCAGAGTACTAAAAAAGGTGCTAATGTCAACCATATATGTGAATTCTCATGTGGGTAGCGCCTCCTTCCCATGGAACCCGAATTGGCTTTGACTTAAATGATTTTCCTACTCATTCATTTTGTTTCTAAAATAAAGATGTACCAATGAGTGCATTACCTGGCATTTCCTAAAAAAAAACTAGCAGATAAAGGTGATCTTCAAAATTTCTGCTCAAAAAAAGGTTATCTTCAAAAATTTAGCAGAATTGATTGCCTGTTTTAAAAAAGAAGAAGGATATGTTCTCCTACTTCGTTCAAACCTAGATATGTACGTGCTACTACGTTGAAAATTGAACCATAAAATTAAAACATCACGTTCACACCTTAAATTTTCACATTAAACCTAAACTAACTTTTAAATATATTAATATTCCTTAAATTATGCTAATCATCTACTAATAAGATCATTAATCTTTACCTATACCTTGCGAGTCCGCCTCTAGAGACATGGATTTCATCCATGTTTACTGTGAGTTGAACCATAAAATTAAAACATGACGCTCACACCTTAAATTTGCATATTAAACCTTAATTGACTATAAAAGATATTGATATTCCTCAAATTATCCTAATCATCTACTAATGAGATCATTAATCTTTACCTACATCTTGCGAGTCTGGCTTGGGACATGGATTTCATCCATGTTTCCTGTGAGTCAGGCTTGTTGAGCACTTTTACATCCATTGGTTGGCACACCAACACATGCAACACCTCTATCCATGTAGTTCAGATATGGGCAACCAAACAAACTAATAGTTGCTGAGAGAATTACTTCCTTTGCTCGTGCAAAATATAGACAAAAACAATACTTTCATGTTCAAAAATAGTGTACCTCATTTTGTGCAATTATGATGGCCTCAAACCACATGAAAACAATCTAAATAATCCTCATAATGAAATATATCAAAACTAAACTCTACACTTGCGTAACTAGCCCAAGGTTAAAAGCGTCAATTCAAGCTCCATTTAACACCGCTAGTGCCCAAATCTAACAGAAAGGCCAAATAAAGAACCAAAGTGGTATTTTAGGCCAAACATGCAAGTTTCAAAACTAAAAAGGCAAAAAAAGAAAAGAAAGGAGAGCCTTTTTTAGGACAAGGAAGTAGTTCTCCCAAGCTCAATGATGTTTTTGGTATGAGTCCATATGCAAGGGTAGATATGGGCATTCTTATAACAAATATATGGGAATAAAGAGGAAAAAGTGCAATTTACCTTCCTCGACTACCATGGTCGTTCGATTTTTCTCCCTGATCTTTAAAACCAATTCTTTTAACCTCCCTCAACTTTTGCAAGCCATTAACTTTTGTGACCTGAGCGACTTTGGTGGTGGTTTTGTTGAAGCGGCGCTACGTCAGAGAAGGTAAATCGGACTAAGTTGAAAGTCTAAGGAGGTAAACCGTTATCTCATTAACTTTTGTGACTTGAGCGACTTTTGTGACTTGAGCGACTTTTGTGATCTGAGCGACTTTGGTGGTGGTTTTGCAAACCGTTATCTCATTAACTTTGAACTTAGTCCTATTTGCCTCCTCTGAGAGGTTAAAAATTATTTTTTATAGATTAGAAAGAAAAATCAGACGACCACTATCTATAGTTGAGGGAGTTAAATTAGATTTTATTTCTTTTAAACAACACCGCCCTCTTTATTCAATTATTAGGAGGATTGCGCATATTACACAAACCATCAAGTGGATTCAAGAACCACACATGACGTCCTACCTCGGCATGGATTAAGCTACGAACTATTCTATGAGCATCGGTGTTTGAGTCCCTATGCTCATGTACAAACTCGACACTACTAAAAACTTCCTTCCTCACACATTGATCTCCTGGATAACCTGTCCGTAGTTCCGGAGATCACCTTGTCAGGTACTCTTTAGCACGTTGAAACAAATCACTAGCAAATAAAGAAGTGCGTCAAAGGCCATGGGCTTTGCTGGTGCACCGTTGGCGAGCCCACGAGAGTAGATCTGGAAGCCTGGAACAAGCGGCAGCACGGTGTCCGGTAACGGCCGAACGTTCTGTCGCGGAGCCACGGCCCATGATACGTTAGTTGGGCCCATTTGGTCTTTCGGTGCCCAACTGCCCAAGTCCCGCAACGTCCGACCACGGACGGACGATTGGATCCCCTCCGCTTGCGGCCTTGCCCATGTGTCCAAAGTCCAAACCAAAATGTGTGTTCCGAGTTGGGCTACTGATGGGCCGGCCCAACGCGACGCGACGGCGACGCAGCGGCGGTCATGTTGGCGTACACAGACAAGAGGGCCACGTGCTGCTGCATGCAGGTCGACACCGCTGCCACATGCCCGCCTACCATGGCTCTTAAAATTTATGTCACATCAAATATTTAGATACTAATAAGGAGTATTAAATATAGATTAATTACAAAATTAATTATATAGATGAAGGCTAATTTGCGAGACAAATTTTCTAAGCCTCGTTAATCCGTCATTAGCACATGTTTACTGTAGAATCACGTTGTCAAATCATGAACTAATTAGATTTAAAAGATTCATCTCGTAAATTAGTCACAAGTTGTGCAATTAGTTTCATAATTAGTCTATATTTAATACTTTATGCATATCAAACATTCAATGAACCTTCAATGTGAGAGGAATTTTATGAGCTCAACAAACAGGCCCGTAGTATCAGCGAACCGAGCGGCGAGCGCTACGCGACACCGTCGTTGCTTGTTCAACAGCTGAAGGCAGCATGGTCGACCACTCGACCGGAGCATAGGAAGAAAAAGACGAGGGCAAAAGGCCTGAATGGTTACGAGCTGTCATGTGTCCCTGGCTCCCAGCCGACGTACGGCAAGTCGGATCGGAGGAGTCTTCCTCACAACTCCCTGCACACGCAACGAAGAATG